CATAACCTCAACAGAGGAAAGAGGAACAGGGAGAATTTATGGCAAGACAGAAGGGAAGTGGTTTTACAACTCTGTCTCTGCCCATCAACTTAAATTTGTTTGTCTTTTTGTTGCCTTCTATACTATAATTCCTTTGCACAGCAAACTCCTTGGGCAACACCTTCAGACTGTAAGCATTTGGATGTAGTGAGCACTCTGAATTTTTACAGGGTGTTCCACCTCTTTCCTGGATTCTTGCCATGGCTTTGCAAGTTTAAAGAGATGAGAATGGACCTGGGAGTCAATCCAGATGCATATTTGGCATCAGATAATGCTGGAGAGACTTCACCCTGAGCCTATACTCTTCAGTGATTCTGCTCAGGAAAGAGAGTATTTGCTGTATCTGTGGGGAGAAAATGCATCTACAGAAAGCTGGAGGGCAGAGGCAGAGAAAGATTCCTGAACCCACCCATAACCCCTTTTAAGAGAAATAGCACCCCAGCTCTTAAAAAAGCACAACCCAAACTACTCCAAGGTATTTAAGATCCTCAAGTCTACTTTCCAAAGTAAGTTTGCTTTGGCTGCTTTGAAATCCCAGGGCTTGCTTTCCTCGCTGTGTCTCACTCTGTTAATCCTTTAGTCGCTTAAACTGAGACAGAATTTGCAAGAAGCTTCTTGAATGATGCCACCTAGAAAAATCCTTGAAAAAGTCTTGAAGCAGTTGATTGGGAGTTTATCCTGATAGCAGAAATAGACACAGCATTCAGCCCAAGCATGTGACACTGCAGGAGAGAGCAATGGGTGTTGAGTATTTGTATTTATGAGGAAATGGAAGTGGAGAAAAGCCGGGCTTTTGGCCTCACTTTACTTTTCTTCACTTTAAATGTCTGCCCAGCCTTTGCTCTGCCTCTGCATATTGTATTAGCCTGGACTTACAGAGCTCTGTTTTCAGAATTAACCTACAGAGGAATTACTGGAAGGCCCTGGTGTGCTGTGTATCACATAAACCCTCACAGGGCTGCCATGGCAATAGGCTGGACACCAGCACTCCTTTTTAAATGCTCTGGGGAATGGACTGGTACTTTCAGAGAGACTAAATAAGTTGTCCCAAACAAAGTTACTTAGAGCTCAATATAATTACATTTTCCCCTGCAGAGGTGGCAGCAAGAGCCTAAACTGTATTCTGGGCTTCATATTCAGTAACATCCACTTTTCTGCAAAAAATAAAGTCAACTTTATGGTTTATCCTCATTTAGGATTACAAAATATGTTCAGGGTCCTGTGCAAGATGATTAATGTCTTCAGCTGACAGTGAGGCAAATGGGAGCTGGAGATGCTCAGGTTCTCACTTTAGTTAAATGGATTTCTGCCTGGACACGGCCTCTGGGCTGTAATATCCATTCCTGGGGGACACCAGTGGCTGAGGCTGATGCACAATTAAGGAAAAGCTCCTGAAAAGAGCCAGACTGCACCAGAACAGCTCAGGAGTACTTGTTTCCAGCAATGCTCATCAAAAGATGCTCAGTAAAAAGCTAAAAATGAGGATCTGCACAGACCCACCCTTCTCAGAGACACATTTACTGACCTCCAGAGCTCTGTTTCTGCTTTGTGAAGGTGATGCTGTTTCCTCAGATTTCCAGTCGTGGGACAACAGCCTCTCCCTGCAGACAAAGGATAACTCTAATGTGTTATTATTTTGTAATTTGTTAGAGTTTTCTCTCTAGCCTGCACTGCCATTTGGATCTTGTCCCACACACTCTGAAACCTGTCCCTAGCACCAGCAGCACAAATAGCATTTCCAGCCTTGCAAGAGAAAGGGAATGAGGGACAAAAATGTCCCTTCATTTTACTTTTGCATGCTGGGCCTTACTGTAGATTTATTAATGTCTGGGCACAATCATTAGCATTCTTTAAGAAGTCTAACTCTCCAGCCAAAACTAAAATTAATTTGATAAATTCTCCTTGACTCTCAGTTATTAGGTGAGCGCAGAAAATGTTCATAAACATGAAGGACCTTGACATTGCATTCTGAAAATTGCCCTCATAATAAATTAAAGATTACTAATATAATATCTCATTGCACATTTTGCCCTGCTCCTTCTACCAAAGAAGGCTTTTGTATATATTTCAAACTCCCTCACTTTGTCACAGTTGCAAGAACTTTTATGTGACTGAGCTGTGTATTTTGAAATCTTATCTTTGCCAAATAGTTCTGACAGCAAATGTGAAATAACAACGTGAGCAGAACTGCTCAGAATCACTTCAAGGCTTCACAGTGTGCTACAGTTTGGTTCAGATGTTCACAAAGATATTCTAATTAAAAATCCCAGTGGATTTGCTTTCTAAGGAAACTACCATTTACATGATAATGTTTTATGTCTCAGCAAGAAACTGCAAATAGGCACTGAAAAGAGAAAGAAAAAATGCCAATGCTGCAAGGACATTTATATATGAAAACTGGGTCAGAAATCATTTACAAAGATTACAACTATTATAAATACTGTGTTTTCAGCTGGAAAATTGGGTTTATCAAACTGCTTTTTAATTCTGATGATCTGATTGGAAATCTGACATTGTGACCTGAGAATGACATCCCTCAGTCCTTCCATTTCCATGCAAATGAGAAGAGAATTGAGCACCACGAGAGTGATGTGAGTTTGTCTTAACAAGAAATGGAAGTTGTTGTCCAACATGAGACAGATCTGAGGGGAGAAAAGCAGCATCTTGTGGGCACAGGTAGGAGATCTTGTCACTAATGTCACCCTGAGAGGTATTTTCCTGAATTTAAAACTGCAGAACCAAATTGTAGCCGCATGCATTTTACTGGATTATGCCAAAACCCCTATAAGTGGTATTTTTTGTTTGTTTGTCTCTCTCTCTCTATATTTTCCTTGGTGATAGCATCCACATGTCTCAATTGTAAGATAATTTTGCATACATGATTTTGTCTTTCTATAAATATTTACGTTCTCTCATTGTGCTGTTTCTTTTGTTTAAGTAACACGGTCTCTGTCTCACTGTTGATCACGCTTTCACTGCTTGTAAATCTCTACAACATTTTCACACATCAGGTGAAAGTGATAAAATGTCTCTTTTGCTGGTGTGGAGCACATTAATTCACTTTTTTTTTTTTTCAGATTTGAACAGCTAATAGATATCCATTTTTCTTTAGAGAAAATAAAGATGTTGCTTTCTCTGACAGTGCTGAGGCTCAATGCCACCCTTGATTACCACAAACCACCTGAGATCCACTGACTTAGGTGGAGATACACCATCCTAACAAAAAGACCTGCTCTCTAACATGCTGTAAAAATCAAGATTTCCTAGAAAAGCAGTACAAAGAACTTAAAAACTAAACAGGGAAAAAGTGTTCTTTCACTGCCTTTTTTATTGCACAGACCTTGCATCCCAAATAATCACAGTGACCCACAGTCTTCATGTGGCTGACTTAGCAGCTGACAAAGACACTCCAGGAAAAAGGCTTAAACTTTCAACTGGGACATCATATAGCTTTATTACATTTTCAATGTTTTTTCCACATTGAGGGCTCATACTAAAATGCTTTTCATTTTAGCACAACCACTCTAATGCAAAATTGAAAAACGTATAATAATCTGGTGCTGAATTGTATGATTAATTGTTCTGTAATCGTGATCATAGGGCTTTCATCTCAGGTAACAGCAATTAGGATTTTCATTCTTCTGCACCAATTTGTGATACCAGAACAAATTCACTGCAGTAGCACTGGAGAGACCACATCCTCTCTATCATCACCAAGCTAGCCTTTAGATCAGTAATCAAATTCATGATTTACTGAAATAAGACACTGCCTCTGTTCATGCAGAGGAGCCTCAACAAGACTGGGCTGGGTCCTCTTCCTGCACATCCAAAGGTCTGGAGAGCACAGGTTGCCTCAATCCTGTGTATCAGACTACTAATGCAGGAAAACAAGAAGGGAGGAGAGTGAAGAAAAGCATGGGAAAGCACAGGGGAGAAAATGAAAAAAATGAACCAGACTATAACTGCTTCGTAAACATATTTTTTTCTCACCCTGGGAAAACCCTGTTTTTCTGAATGTATTCTACATCATAATGGCACATGGAACGAATTAACTTGCAGTCATGACCTACATTAGGATCAGAAAAAGACTTTTCTAAAACAAAGTTGTGAGTTGATGTTGTCAAAATACGGAGCTGTTGTTTCTCTTTAGGATGATCCCCTGCAGCAAAAGGCTTCAATGTATTCAACAGCAAGTCTCTTAATAGCCTTCAACCATTTAAGTCCTCAAATCCCTGGGAAGCATGGCTAACCCTCAGTCATTAGCCTCATTTGATCTAAGGACAAGCACAAACAAGAGCAAAACCCGGGAACTGCAGGAGTGGAAACAACATTTCCCAGAAACATTTGGTAGGTGTGAAATGTTTGGAGTCCCCAGCACCACCACATCAAACCAGTGAGATGTATGTGTGCTTGGCACACCCCTACTAGCTTTGAAATTGCTTCAGCCCTTTTGGATCATATCCAAAGTGGGGGAAAGCCAGTAGAGCCTACTCTTCTGCAGAAGAGGCAGAGCAGTGTGTGCTTGTTCAAGCAGCCCGTGCTCATAATGAGAGAAGCACACAGAATTTTCTGGCAGAAGGGTCAGATTCTGCCTTTGGAACCATATCTTTTGTCACCTAAAGAAGGCAGAAATGGGTTTCAACTGAGATGTTGAATTCCAAGCCCACAAGCAAGCGCAGAATCTTCCCCTTCCCTCTGGCTGGTTTTAGTCTCTGTTTTCAGCAGTCTGGCTCCTGCCTTCGCTCACATTCCTTGTGTCCCAAAATTCAGGCTACACCCTCAATGTGGAAAGGAGCTCCTTGTGAAGGGCTCTGCAGAGCTCTCCCCTGACAGAAAGCTGCAGTGTGCTCTCCCTGCCACTCCACTCTCCCAGGCTCTGGGGGCACAGACTGACCCACAAGCAACCCTTGCCAACGAACTCAAATATCAAGTTGCAACTGGGAGGCTGCAGTTGACGACGCATGACAAGACTGACAAGGCTGAAGGAGAGCCACAAAATGTCACCAGACATTGTCAACCCCCGTGGGGCCTGGAGCTTTCCTGGGGAAGGCTGCCAAGGAGGCAAGAGAGCACCACGGCAGCAACTCGGTGGCAAGTGGCCTCAGACAGCGTAAGAGACCCAGAGCTGTCGTGTGTAAATCTCTGAAGGGAGGTGGAAAACAGCTCATGAAAGCAAGGGAAGCAGCAGGGAGAGAACTCTGGAGGCAAATGTTGGAGCATCACCGAACCATATGCAACCCTACAAAGATAATGGCCCTAAATTACCCCTCACTAGCCTTGGTTCATTAAGAATTTGATAGAGCTCTACTGGTGGCACTGGAAGCCCGCTCAGGGAGCCAAGCAGACTCTGGATCAGGCCCTAGGACTGGAAAATATATTAGGTCATAAAGTACTGTTACATATTTTATAAGGGAACAGCTATCAATGTCTGCTCCACCCGGAGAATACACAAAAACCAGCTGGAAGCACAAACAGCTGTGCATATCCCAGCCTCTCTTCAGCTGCAGCTTCTTTCAGATGCTCCTAAACTCGTGTTAGAAAGACATTTCCACATCTCCCCGTCTCTAAAAGGACTCTTAAAACACTGAGAAAACAATTATGTTTGGTGACATATGTGAGTAAAGATAATTATAGCATAAATAAGATATGCTTGACATTATTGTCAGTTATTTGAGCTAACCTCTGGGTATGCAGAATGGGGGTGATGAGAGATATGTTTGCAGGCAGCTTTAACAAGTGCTTCTGATATCACAACTTTTCAGTCAAGATTTTGGCATTTGTTAGCCAGATTTAAAATTATTCTATGAATACAGCCCAGATCAGAGCATCCATTGCTTGTGCATAAGATTCAACAGGCAACAGGGATATGTTGTGATTGGATGTACTGCTAATGAGACTACTACTTATTCCTGGGACAGATTTTTAAACCTCTTCTAAATTACCAGATTCTTTGGCAAAATTCTTTGCTCTCAGTCACAAATTTGGTTTTGATCACACATTCTGTGCTATAGATCCATTTGCAATTCTACCACAGCATCACTGGCACTTCCAAGAAGGAAGAGGATCTATAGATGGATGGTTCCATGGTGAATATGCACAATTTAGCATTTAATTTATTTTTTGGTTGGGCCCAAATTGTTCTTCTGGCATGATTTTTCTTCTCCTTTAGCCGTGTAAACTAGAATATAGGTTTCATTGGACTGTCTTCTTGATCACTGAATCTAAGTACCCAAAAACTGATGAAAAGATTGGTTTACTTTTCTGGCATTATACCCCTGGCTTCCTGAGAGTAACAGATGGGTATTTAATTGTTATAAGGACTTCTATTTATTTTCCTAGAGATAAATGACAAAAAAAGAATGCTGTACTTCACAGAGTGCCCTTAAAATATAATGTCTCTGAGTGGAAAGCTTGCCCAGAGTTTTCCATAACACACCAAATTAAATAGAAGCTCTGTTTGAAAGACTCACAGAGTGCCTGAGGCTGTTTTTAGTGCTGCTCACATGGAAACGTCACAGCACAAGTCTCCAGTGCAGCCCACGCGAGGCCGATATTGCTCCCCAGGAACGCAGCCGTGGCCTGTGCTGCTGCAGAAATGGACGTGAGTCTGCATGGATGATGGGGAGATTCCTGGTGGCTGAGCTCTCTGGAGTAATGCTGGCCCCAGTACAGGACAGACTGGAGTGATTCACTGCCTCTGACTGTGGCTGAGCTGCAGAAATCTGCACAAGGGAGAGGACTTTTGGAGACCGGTGGTTGCTAAAGCTCATATATCTCACATTTCTGTCCTGGAGTTTAGGTGAAATGCTTCTACCATCTGATTTCATCCACACAATAAGGAGTAGAAGCAAAACAATCTCTCATTAATGACAGAAGAGCCCAAAAGTGATAACATCTGCCAGTTTAACATGAAAGTTGCCATGACTAGAGCAATTCCTGGGTGACAGTGCTGTGATGACAGTTCCCCCTCCCAAACTTATTAGGAAAGCTGTTGCCTCTGGAGAGGAAGGGCACAGAGAATAGCAGTGACGTGAAGTGTCTGAGCCACAAAGATCCAGCCAGCTGAAATTAGTTTTAATAAATATGCTAACATGGAGGAAATTCCTGAAAAGTGGACGACAGCTCATGTGGTGCCAAGAGTCAAGTGGAGCTCAAGTCTGAGCCAGCTGGCCAGCATCAATGCCAGCCGAGGCAAAGCTGATAAAAACACCCATTAATAAAGATAATTAATTAAAATAATCTAGTATAGAAATATAATTAACGCCAGTAATCATGGCTTTATGGTAAGCAGGCCTCATCATATAAATCTGATGTCACTCTCTGATGAGATTACAAATTTGCTTGATGAAGACAACCACAGAGATGCAACACACGGAGTTTGGTGAGTCACAGGACTCAGCAGAACACAACATGCTGCTTATAAAAACATTATGAAACATCTGTAGAAGAAAGGTTGTTTGTAGCATGATGTGGTTGCAAGGCAACCACAGCCGGTGGTTGCAAAGCCCCAGCAATCTGACATGCAGGACCAACACCAGAAAATAAGGGGTTAATCATGGAGCTCAGAATGCATTATTTACCAGTTCTGGTCACTGAAAACAAGGTATGTTTAATTCAAGCAAATCCAAAGTTTCACAGCTGTCAGTGAGGAATGTAGGTCATGATTCAGGCAGCAAGGAGGACTACACGAAACAGAGGGTTGGGAGAGGGTTAAGCAACTAAATGTGAGCCCTCATTCTAGAAAAGAGAAAAAAAAAAAGGCAAATAAGTAAATTTGACCTTTGGATATTCTAAAAGAAGAGAATTGGGGGTGGATTCTTACCTCTGCACACAGCACCAGCAAAACTGTCCTGTTTTAGCACTTGCATTTTTCAAGGCTGCTGAAAACTTGAATAAGGAACAAGTCTAAAGTAATTTAGTAAAATGTCATATACTTTTTATGGAATTCAGTCAATCTGGTTAAGCAGCAAAACAATGGAAAGGTGATTGCAGTGTGCTTATACACCCAAAAGGAGAAAAAACCAGAGGACCCTTTCATCTAAAGCACAAAAGCATGACAAGAAGCAAAGTCTGAAATGTGAAGACAATTTTAAGGGAGCAATCAAAGCACATTTTAATTGGGAAAGTTATAAATTCCTCATAGAAAATACAGAGAAAATGGTGGATTCTACGTTTCTCAGTCTATGCTAGTCAAAACTAGACACTATTTGTATTTCTGGAAAAAAACTTAACCAAATATAAGTTTTCAGGCTAAATATAGGGGTAACTAGCCTTCATTAAACAAAATGCCAGAGTAAATGATCTAAAGGTCCTTTCTGGCCTTAAGCCAAATGAATCTGAAGTAACAGAGACTGCCTTTTCTTTAAAAAAATCACATGATGACTTCTGGTTTTCAGCCAGTTGAGAGCATGCTCTAAATTTTTCAGAGTTTTGACTGTTTTTTCCATTCTGCCTTTAGTATTTCAAGCAGAGCAACATAAATATTGATAAAACATTTCCCACCAAAAAGGAGACTGTTCAGTCAATAATTTCCATTGGCATTCATACATTATATGTTTATAACTGGCTTTACAAAGTGCTGGATTCCTCTCAGCATTTCTTAGTGCAAAACAGAACATTTTGTCATTTAAACATGAACACAATTTTGGTTTGTACTCTTTCTCTTACCTACTAGCTATTATTCATACAATATTCTACTGGTATTCTCTTATTCTTTTATTATTTTATCTGTTATATATCACTTATTTGATTATTAGTATTATTCATATATTCTCTTTATCTTTCTAGCACTGCAGTCACAAAGTAAAAAAAAATATTAATATTTTTTGAGTAATCAACAGAGTGAATGAACTTGACATATGAAGTTGATGTTTATTCCTATCTTTGCAGCAGAGTTACATCAGTGCCATCTGCTAAAGTTTTTAATTTCTGTAGCACATGACAGGATCATGTTAAAGTGGAGCAGTTTCTCTCTGCAGTCCTGTGTGTGGTGCACCAATATTTGCACACCTCCATTGCTGCATGAAAAATTGGATTAACAGAAAACCACGTGGATTTGTGCAAACTTTGCATCCAAAAATAACAGAAAATATAGAAATTGAATTGACCTAATGGGATGTGACCTTCAGGGCCAGTTTTTCTCAGCATCTCTCATGGTGTGTCCTAATCTTTCCCATTGTTTTCCCACCATGCTGGGAAGTCCCTCCTGTGCTGCTGGACCTCGTGGTGCTGATTCACTTGGTCCAAAGGGCTCAGCATAGCTCACACCCACGCAGCAAAAAGATGAAGAAACAAAACCCTTTTGTCTCACCAGCAAGATCAAAGGTGGTTATTTTTTATTTTTTTTTTTTTTTGAGTGATACAGCCAAATATGAGTTGGTTTATCTCACTGGAGAGTTCCACTTTGGGAAAACAAAAGATGAAGTGGCACGTTCTAATGAAAAGCATACACTGCTGCAACCTACAGGCCACAGCCAGAATGCATCTGCCAAGAAACACCTTCCTTTGGGTGGGGAGACATTTTTCACTCTGTTTTCCCCTCAGTCTTGTACTGACTGCCGTGGAGTTATCTCTAAATTTTACAATATCAATGAAAGGAGAATTAGAACTCTGTTTCCAAAATTGGTTTCTAACAAGTACCAACATGTCTTCCACCCGTCTCCAACCCATGCCAGATGTATTCCCTTTATCTTTCTAGCTCTACAGTCATGAAGTAAAAAAATTTAATCCTGCTCCACACATTTGTTTAAGGTATATTTGAAGAAAGGATATGGCAGAGTCTCAGTCAGAGCTGCAAACTGCACACCAGCCTCCCTCCAAGTGAAATTAAGGACTCAGGGGGACTCAGTTTGGAGTAAATTTGGGCACCTGCCCTAGATTTTCCCCATCTACCAACTGTGAGATCATTATTTGTCGAGCAGCTACATCTAATTCAACTCCTTTACTGCAGACGTGTGAAGGAGCAGTGAAAACACGTGGAAATATCTCCTCGTGCACCCATGGGGAACTCACAGCCCCTTGGTTCTGCTGCTGACAGTCAAAACTCCTTCCACATTCCTGACCAAAGCATGTTGTAATTTTGGGGAGAATCATTCTGGGAGCAAGTTGCAG